GTGGGCCGGCCCGGGGTCGGCTGTACCCACTCCTGTCTCAGCTTGGCACAGCATGGCACACCATCCGCTGCTCCATCGTGTTCCCCTTGCTCAGGGGAAAGCTGCTACCCTCTGTGGGGCAGCTGTGCCACCCCATAACCCAGCTAAATCCAGTTGTACTTGCAGGTGTGGTTTCAGAACAGACGGGCTAAGTGGCGACGGCAGGAGAAATTAGAGGTGACCTCCATGAAACTACAAGACTCACCCATCCTCTCCTTCAACCGCTCACCGCAGGCAACACCCATGGGTCCTCTCAGCAGCAACTTGCCCCTGGAGACGTGGCTCAGCCCTCCTGTGCCCAGCAGCACGGCACTGCAAACTCTGCCCGGCTTTGTGGCTTCACCACAGAGCCTGCCCAGCACCTACACGCCACCACCCTTCCTGAACTCTCCGGCAGTCACCCACACGCTGCAGCCCCTGGGGACCCTGGGGCCACCACCGCCTTACCAGTGCGGGGCCAGCTTTGTGGACAAATTCCCCTTGGATGAGACAGACCCCCGCAACACCAGCATTGCTGCCTTGCGGATGAAGGCCAAGGAGCACATCCAGTCCATCGGCAAACCGTGGCAGACAATCTGAATTCCCTTGTCAAGCGGGGAGAAACCCATGGGGAAGGCTGGTCCTGGGATATCCGAGGGTTGCTCTCACTCTGCTCTGGCTCCCCTGGATGGCCAAGCAAGGGAGGGCTGTCCTTTGCACCAGTCTTTTCCCCATGACTTGACTTGCTTTGTATTTTGTGGTCCTTTTAATTCCCTTTTCCACAGAGTAGCTGTGTGAGGTGGCTGGGAACTGCTCCCACAGCTGCCCTGATGGGATAGCCTTGGGTTCAGATGAGCTGTGCCCACCCCTGCCCATGCAGGCTGGGGTCAATGCCAGTCCCCTGGCACTTGCTGCCTCCTTAGAGAAGGGAATCAGATGGACATCTGGTTGGGTGGCTGGAGCTGGTGGCAGGGACCCTCCTTGGGTGCATTCTGCCCAGTGCAGCCCAGGAAGGCTGGCACGGCACTGGGCTCCTCTCGCTCCCCCTGCCCACCCATCGCCAAGCTGCCAAAATTAAAACTACAGCATCTTTATTTTCCATTATCTCTGTTACTGCCTGTAATGGGGCTGAGAAGCTGTAATGAAACACCCCCTTCTCCTCCATTGGGCTCTACACACTCTGGAGGTTGTGGCAATTAACGTTTCTCATTAGGGAAGAGAGAAGGATGCACAAATGCCCTCATTGTGTCCTGGGGATAATTCAGTGCAGACTGGGAGACCTCTCCTTTCACCACTTCCCGCTCGTTGCGGTCAGACAAAGGCTGGCGTCTAATTATATTTTCACAATCTGTGCGTATCTTAGGAGTCCTGTCAGAAACAAGTATTTCAGCTTCACTTCAGAGAGTTTTTTAACCTTAGACAGCAGTTTCTAAACATCCCTTCACAGCCTTTTCCACAGCAGCCCCCATCTGGAGACCTGCTTTTATAGATAATAATAAGAATCCATATATTTTGAATCTTCTCTTCCCGTAGATCCAACCTGCCTCTCTGGACCAGAGCACACACTGTGCTCCAGGCTTCCCTTCCCTGAGCTGCACCCAGACTGTTGTCCAGAAGCTCATACCTGGGCTTGTTGCTCACGATAACAAGATTTCAGTGTTGCTATTCCACATTTTGACACTACTACCCTGTCTCCTTGCTGCCTCCAGTCCTTCTGTGTCCTGTAGAGGCATGGAAAAGACACCAATCCCCCGACTTGTTGTACCTGTGAACGCTGTAACGGATAAACAGCACAGTCAACGGCCTTCAAGGAAACCTATGAGTTTATTGCTAAAAAAGAAACATTATAATCAGCTAAACCTAAGTGGGCACAGACAGGTCAATAAAGGGGCAGAGGCATATGCAAACTCTTATCTTTCTTGTACCCTTAGTTTTCCGTGTTCCTACACTTTCCTTCCAACGGTCCCATTCTGTTTTAATATGTTCATTTTGTTGTAAATATCTTCTCCTTCTTAATTGGGTGCTGAGTCTAATAATCCTGCCTCAGCTTGTTAACTGTACAATAGCAGTCAGAGTTAATGACCCATTAGTGATTAATTCCTTAAACCAGCATCTAATTGCTCTCTGTAAAACCTTTTCTTAAAACTGGATTAAATCATCTAGATCCTTAACCACTTCTTTACTCTAACTTTGCTAAGGCTATTAGCCTGCCCTTTTCTGAGTGATCTATTTCTTTTGCTTAAACTGTATTAGCAAGATAGTATTTTTAGTGTCTCTATTTGACTCCTTTGCAACAGCTGAAGTTCTAAGGAAGAATAATACCAATAAAAGTCTGCCAGTGAAAATACTAAAAGATGTACTCCTTTGCAATAACTCAACTGCAGACAGTGACTGTTGTTATGCTAACCATGGCATACCACCTTTTGGGAGAGTTGGGCTTGCAGGACAGGGTTTGTCACAGTGGTCACAACTACTCACGGAAATGTGTAGGCTCTGGCAAGTTTTCCCCAAGAATGACTCGGTCTTTGTGCAGGGTCCTGAATATGGGGCAGTCAGCAAGGGCTGCCCAGGAGACTCCTGGGAGGATTGCTATGTGAAGACAAAGCCTTACTATCCTTCCACAGGCATAGATTCTTGATCCTGGGGGTACTGCACCTCCATGCTCAACACAGGCCAAAGGACTAGTGAGGAGGGGCAAACCTTGGCTGGGAGTGGGAGGCAAGACAAGTTGTGTCTGCTGGATGAGGCTTGGAGCAACCTGGTCTAGTGGAAGGTGTCCCTGCCCATGGCAGGGGGTGGGACTGGGGGGGCTTTAAGGTCCCTTCGACCCAAACCATTCCATGATTCTATGATTTCCAGGTAAACTCCACATGAGCAGCCTGAGCTTTCTTTTTTTTGCTCAAGGAGAGGACGCATGGATATACATTTCCTTGTATTACGCAGACTATTAAGTTGTCCACTTTGAGTTTGCTTCAAAGCTCTGAGAAAGTAAAAGGAAGTCCTCATCTCTGCATCTGCTTCATTTGCTGCAATGTCTGCATTAGCAAAGGAGGTTAATCTTGGCTGATTTCTCACTGAGATATGAAGTGCAAGGAAGTAGACTGGATTTTTTTCTTGAGAAGTCTTTCCATTAGGCCTGGCCGTCCTAGGCTCAACATAACACAGGTGTGGTGTAAAGTTTTGCACAGGACAGTAGCATGACCTATGCAGGAGAGAAGACAATTACCATAAAGAGCTTTGAAGAACTCTGAATTAATAATTATGAGGAAAAAAGTCATGATGAAACACAGTCTCTTTCCGTTCCATAGCTGGAGGCCAAGGGTGCTAACACCTAAGCCAGTGCTTAGCATCCCAGCTGGATTTTGTACAAGGACCTCTTGAGTGTTCAGGTGATGGTTTGGCTTCTGGGCCATGCTTATTTCTCAAATGTGCAACACATGCACATATTCAATCCACTACTTTGGCCCCACAAAGACTAAAGCCAGCTTGTCAAACACCTTTCTGTGGTAGCCCTCTCATTTTGCTCAACTTGCTTCCTCTGCTCTGCCTTCATCTCTGCCAAGTTTGTGCAGGGGAAGGTTGATTCAAATCTATGAGCAAATCTTTCCAGGGATGGCCCAGTATCCGAAGAGGACCCACAGGGTTGAATGAGGGCTGTGGAGTGCACCTTTGGGCGTTCATCACACACCCCCTCCCTCAGTTTACTGCTGATGGGGAGTCAGTCAGCATTGAGATGCTTCCAAAGGATGTGAGATGTGGAACTGGGACTGCACAGCCCAGCACACATAAGGGAATTAAAAGGACAAGCATCATGTCCCAATGCCACATGAGGCCCTGGGCAGCAGCCTGACATCAAATGCCCACAGTACGTGCCCAGTGGTACTGGAGTGACTTGCTGTGCTCCCCGCAATGTCCACCCAGCCTGCAGTGGCTGCTTCTGTGGTGCTAGCCATGCACCAACCTTTGTACTGCCCCACCAGCACAGGAATCTGCCAGTGACAAGCCTGGGCGCCCAGCTGCCCCCCTGTCACTCCAAGCCTCATCCAGCCTG